AATGCATCAAGTAAAAACTTAATATATTTTGAATTGCAAAACTCCCAGTGAAAATGGTCCTTTAAAATATGTAAGTACACTTCAGTTAGGAAGCTCCCACAGCACTCTGGAAGCATAGGTGCTTATCACATTAGCCAGACTTCACTGGGAGATGAAAAAGTGCAACTGTTTAACAACTCAGTATTAATGCAAGACAATTTAGAACAGAAACAGACTCTGGGGAAGACCAGCATATGCAAAATGCAATTACACAAATTAGACCTTTTCCAGGCCATCACCATAAATACTCCTTACTTTTATAGTAGTGTGACTATGTCTTTGACCCTAAATAGTAACTACTTTAAAGCACTGAGAACACCAATAGGTCAACGCTGCTAAGAGGGAATATTACCTTTAATTAAACCTACAGGACTATGTCAGAAGCAAGCCTTTAATGGACTGGCTCCTGTACAGGTCGACACTGCTCCTTTCCTGAAGTTGCCTGTTTTACTTAAAGCAAAGCAAGTCTGACACACAGAAAGGGGAGGTAGGACAAATTAACTAGATCACCACCAGTTCTGGGTGCCCAAACATTTTAATTGGAAGAAAATCTACCAACTGCTGGGCAACCTCATCTTCATGAGTAAGTGGATCCCGTGTAGTCATCACAACAGAAGGGTATTGCTTTCTACAAGGGCAGAAGCATATATAGAGAGAGCATTGTTGCAATCGGCTGCTTCATCACATCAGACAACAAAATAAGAGAATGCCCAGAATTGATATTAACTTTAACAATAAATGGGAAACTAAATGCAAACCTGTTTTATTTTACGAACAAGCCCATTTGTAATGAGTCTAAGCAATCAAAAATCAAAAGCGCCTAAAGTTACTTATCATTAAATATTTATTTTGCAAAAAATAAATTCATACACAGTTTTAAATGAAATATAAAACTGGTCACGGAACAAAGATCTACAAGAGTTAAGTTCTAGCCTCCACTGTAACAAAAATATATCTGTATGTTAAACAACATTTGAGAAAATACAGGTACAAATGATTCTGTATCCAAATGTGTGCTGCCCTCTAGATTTCTGACAAATTCTTTCTGTTCCACTGCATAGTGACCCTTATTACATACATAAAAACCTCACTACAAAAATATACACAAACAATCTAAGAATTGTCTGATAAAATGTGTGTGAGCACATTTCGATGGGAAGCAAAATAATAATTGCAAAGAGAGATGCCAGTTCCCAGGGAATAATTGAGGAGATGTGAAGATGCTGCCAGCCCATGTAATTCATACATCTCACTGTCTACCACTAAAGTCTGTACAATTATTAAGTCTGACAAAACACAAACTTGCAGATCCCAGGCCCACACACCTTGAGAAAAAAATCCACATCAGCCTCCGAAGTAACGTTACAACATGCAGTAGATGGCGTTCTTACAATGATGTTGCAGTGTTTTGTTTCTATGCCAAGTGTAATGCACGTTGACCATCCCTGGCTCTCTCTGTGCTGTTCCTAAATATCGTACAGCTGGAGCCCTTCGAAGTCTATGCCGATCTAGCTCAAATCACTGAAACCATGACAGATGTCCAGGAAGGGGAACCTGGTAATCTCCCCGAGACAGATTGATATTAAACAATACTGTTATTCCATTCAAAACTGAACGTACTAGTCAAAGCTATTTTCTTATAACATGGTTTTCATGATAAATTTTTTCAAACATTTTCACTATCATTTAAATAAACCTTCCCAAAAGAATAAAGTATTTCCACATCTTTGGTAGGGCCTGCCTAAAACATGGCTCCAGTCTGGCAAACAGTTGTCTGACATAAATCCAAAAACATAAGGAAATTCCAGGCATTTGATTATCAGTTTATCGCCAGCCAGTCTGTCCTCAAACAGTGCAACTTGTGCTGGACTTGGTCCTGCTTTCTTTGTGCAATAAGTTTCCCTGCTAACTTGGGTGAGAATTTTGGATATGGAAACAGTGCATATTTGAGCCAATTATTAGCAAGACCACGAGGTCCCTGAAATATCTAAATCAACAGAGCAGATGTAAAGATTAAGGGGTTGCCCCAATTCCTTAGTTTATATATATCCTCTATGATAGTCAACCAGAACCGTTGATGGAATATTAGCATGGTGAGCTGCGGCATTTTAAATGTTGTATTCCAGTCCAATTGCTGCATTTCTACTTTCCAATCATGGATTTCAGGTGTTCTAGTTTGTATTCCTCAATGAAGTCCTCCACAAGATGCAATGCATTAATTTTCACCAACAGAAGAATCACATCTCTTGTTTCATCACTGATAAAAAAAAAATGTAACATTCAAGTATATTACCTCTTCTGTATACGTTTAGCTTATATATTTTTTAACTCTAGATAAACTGTACTGCATGATGGAAATGAACCTGGGCTGTGATGACAGACTAAGATGTCCATATACAATTTAGATATTCAGAATCTTGGCCATCAAAGACTAGACAAGAACACCCCAAATGCATATCTCCCATTTTGTTATGGAATTATATGTTGTTATATTCATGTTTTATGAGGTTAAACTAATTGGACAACTGATTTGCTCATAAAAACAAGCCTCAACAAGACAGCTTACAGTACAAGTAATACACTGCTTGAATTTTGAGCAACACAGCAGCTCTCGACACCTACAGCAACAATACGATAGGACAATTTTCCCAATTCTCTAGAAACACAATCAGTAGTGTTATAAGAATGAGTTCATGTAGAATTGACAACACATCTGTGCATTGATACCAAAAGTCTTGAAATTACACAGGCCATATGAAATTACACTGGCCAAGGCTCCTCCTTTAAGAAAAAGAACCCCCCTTTTCTCCATTATTCTGTATGTCAAATAAATTTTAACTTGTTGCTGATTAACAGCTCTGACTCGCCTTTCAGTGCAAATGGCTGACAATGCAGTCATACAAAGCCCCTTTAAAGTGCACTATGTCTTTATTTAGGCACAAAGCAGCTAATAAAAACCCCCCATCAAAGACAGAATAATTCACAGTGCATTCCGAAGAATGCCAGACTGATTACCTGCAGTTACTTCTGTACCGGGTATGCGCAGCTTGCAACAAATGCTGGCTGAAATTCACCAAGTGAGGGAGAGTCGAATCACTCTTGAGGTCTCGGAACCACCTTTCTGGGAAACACGCAACCACCTGTGCAACCAAGAACACGTTTTGCAAAGATCAAACATTCCTTTAACAGTGTTAACTCGCACTCTGCTACCCATGAAAGGTACTTTTGTTTCCTCTTTCCTTGGTTCCACGGTTGTAATTAGTAAGGAGTTCTGTCAGATGTAGAGCCAAGTATCAGCACAATGGGCTATAGCTATTCTCGGCATGCACAAGAGCTTTGAGGAATTACAGGCAGGTGTTTGTTCTAAGGACTGTGTGCATCGTGTAAGGAATGTCAGGATGGTACACAAAGTACTAAGAAAGCAGTACACAAAGTACTAGGAAAAGCCTTTCAGCACCTTTTATTTTGCTTCTGTTCTTCGTTTGCAAGCACGTATTAAAAGAGACTCCATAAAGACATCTTTTTTCTCTTGACATAAGACACTTAGTTATTGTCAGTTTGAACTCCTGACCTTCAGAGCACATTAGCACACACTGGCTTTAAAAAAAAAAAACCCACTTGCTCATATTAATCCCTCAAGTCAGGGAATCAAAATCTACACAGCTGAAAGAGGCTCTCATCCTTTTCTCCATCAGCGCCAAAGGATTAACAGATATGACATTTTGTTGCTAAAGGAAGAAACCCTCTAGCGATTAAACAACTTACATTAATTACAGCATTAGGAAAATGCCTATTCTGGAGCCAAAAGCTAAATTGCCATTCTCCTTTTAAGAAAGAGTTTATTCTACTCTCCAGTGGTTACCACTTGGAAACAAGAAATAGAATTTCCCCTTCTCCCAGCTATGGCAAGCTCTAACTCTGGAGTAGGACATCAAACACTGGCATTTTCAATTTGTAATAACTGAATGCAGCTTTGTTTGACCAATCTTTCCTACATGCACTCTCACAGCCTGCTTCAGCCAGAAAGGGTACAAGCCCTGTAAATTGCAAGTCCAACCCAGACTCCAGTGAAGTCAATAGAAGTCCTTTGATTTCTTCAATGGGCTCTAAAACAAGTCTTAAGATGACGTTGATTAAATGGTTAATTACCCAGGGTGCTACAGCCAGCAAAAATGACTCCTTTTTTAGTGAATCACACCAATATAAGAATTTACATTTTTTCAGAAGGATATTTACAGTGAAATGTAGGCCCCCTTGAAATCAATGGTGAAGCAATCTTTAAGGTAAAAGGAGACAGTTTTTCACCCAAAGGCATTTTCCTTTGGACTGCAGCATTTTCCAAGTAGAGTTGCCGACCGACTCTGACAAGCTATTTCGGGAGGTTTTCTTTCCCCAAAGTGACGTAATGTCATTAATTGTACTGTTCAACCCATTCACAATATCACTCTCCCAGATTGCTTTCAATAGTCACTGAGAGATCGATGCCAATTCCGGTAGACTCCCAGACAACCTGGGAGGGTTGGCAACTCTATTTCGAAGGCAGGTCAATTTATGGTCCAAACATATCAGCCGTGCCTTTCTAAAGCTATCAACAGCTTTTAGCGTTATCTTTAAAACTATAAAAGCTGAATGGTTTGTTATCTTATCTTCAGACACCACTGCCTTCATCATAAACTATACACATTTTTTACTACATATAATTTTTACCTTGTTACATTTTTCTATATTATCTGGTCCAGATGGTGCATTAAGGAGTATTAAAAGAAGGTAACGATTCAGCAGCTTGCTTAGTCCAAGTTCATGTAGAGTCTCTTCTGGTACAATCCCATCCCAAAGAAGAATATTACATAGTAACTAAAATGATCAAGAAGTGTAGAATCAGCAGAGACAGTGGAAGGTGGTAATTTGAAATACAAAACTATGATGTAGATTTTTATAAATGTTCATGAGAGAAGACCTCTGAACACGTGGTTTCGAATTTTCCTTACAGATGCTCTCAACTCAGCCTTTTCCAAATTAAAAAAAAAATGCTGCTGTGTTAATTTGGAAACACAGCCACTGAATTGCATGCTGACATCAGTGCGGGCGTCTATGGTATGGAGACCTTGAACTGCATGCTGACATCTGTGTGAGCATCTGTGGTATGGAGACGCTGCAATCACTTAAGTGATTCTTAACCAGGGACTGCGGCATCCTGAGGCACTGTGGAAGGAGGTAAAGTGCTCCTCCCCACATCTAATACCTTGTGCCTGTTTCAGCCCCTCATGGACAAGTGGTGCTTGCAGCTGCTCCTAAGAACTGCCACTGTTGCCCTCCCCTGCCCTCTGAAAGTTCCCTGGCCAGCCACCCCATGGTCTGAGCAGCATGCTCTGCTGTGGGCAGACAGAGTGATGGGCAGAAGCAGAGCTGCAGATCAACAGTTTTCAGTCCAGCTTATCCCCCCAGCCCCCAAGCTCCTCCTAGAGCCAGTAGAAGGAGCCACGGGTGCAGATGGCTCCAGTCGTGGTGGTGTGAGACCTGGAGGAGAAGCCTTGGCTGCCCTTGCTCCCTCAAGTACAGACCAGGGGCAGGGAGAAGGTAGATGGTAGAAAGAGGACACCAGCTAGATCAATGGTTCTCAAGTTTTTCAGCCTCAAGGCTCCCTCCAGAATTTCCCTGAATTTAGTTTCTAGCTTAGTAATTCTCACCCAGGGCGCTGCTGAAGTCAGAAAAGTTCTGAAGGGGTGGCTGAAGCTAACAAGCTTGACAGTCACTGAGTTAAGCACAATTTGGAAACACAAACACACAATATAAAAACCAGCAGACCTTGTTGGTCCTCATAAGTAGGCTTTTGAAGTGAATTGTGGGAGAGGAATTATGCAGGGTAAGAATAGCTGGCCAGCTGAGAGGGAGACTTGCCATTTGAGGCAATGCAGAGATAAACACAGTAAGTACATGGCACATTCTTAAACAAGTCTTTCTAGGCTACATAAGGCACATATTCCTCAAGAAGGTGCACCATCTGTTCCAGTGCAACCTTGGATTCCTTGAGTGTGTTTTAACATTGACAGTGCCCTCATCCTCCTGCTTTACCTATGGCAAGTTAGGGTGTTGTGCTGATGTTTTCAGGCATCGTGCCTGATAAGTTGTGCAAGAGGGTTGTGTGTGCAGTTTTAAGAACAGGTTAGAAAAATACCTGCATATGATAGTTGAGAGAGGGATAATCCTGCCTTGAGCAGGAGGTTGAACTAGATGGCCTCCTGGGTCCCTTCCAGCACTACTTTTCTATGATTCTATGAACATACCAGTCCCTTAGATTTCCGACTTCCCTGATAATATGTTTTGTAGCTGAGACTGAGCACGACTCAATTAAACCCGAATGATTTTTCAACTGGAAATTATGTATATCTTGATTACCTTTACAGCAGACCAAAACTGCCTTTCTTGGAACTTCGAATGTGGCGATAGCCTGTCTTCCACTGTACTGGCCATGGACAAAACAAAAAGGGAATATGTAAAATAACCTTTTCACAGTGTTTGCTCAGAGAAATTATTTATCTTTTCCGTGTGCTCCTGAATGTTAATTTTAGTACACCTTTAGCAATCAATGAAGCTTGCAAAAAGAAAATAGGTCTTTAGCCCACCACAAAAGAGCCTTTTTCAACAGAACAGGCTAAAACTGCCAGGCAGCTTTAGCAATGTATTTCTCCTAACACAGCTCTACTCTAATCATATGTCTTTCCTGGAAAGAGATTTCCTTCATCCCAAACTGAAAAATGCACACAACCTCCTAAAACCCCAGAAAATAAGCACAAAAAAACAGATTTTTTTCTCCAAAGTAAAACGTCTCAAGGAAGCCATAACAAGTCATGGAAGTGAAGTGAAGATGAGTCACAGGGGAGAAAAAACAGGCATCCTTTTAACAATCACCAACACATAAAGCTAAACCAGACTGTGGCACCCACATGCAACACTTACTTAAAGGAAATTCCTCTAGTGAACACGACTACTCCTGTGACCAAGCACTCACCCACATGAGCAAGGGCTACAATAACCTAGTACCTACAATTTCCAAGGTATGCTATTTATAACAAAACTGAAGGTCTACAAAGCCATTGTGTTGTCAATCCTGATGTATGCATGAGAAACCTGAATAGATGCTGTGCTATGAAGCTGAACCACTTTTACATGGGCTGTCTGAAGAAACTGATGAGGATATGATGGCAAGACAAAGTCCCAGACACTGAAGTTCTCACGCAGACAGGCTTCCTAAGCATCCACACTGTGTTGATGAAATCACAGATGAGATGGGCAGCCCATGTTACCAGGATATCAGGAGAGCGACTGCCAAAGAAGATCTTCTATGGCACGCTCAGGGAGGCCAAAAGAAATGTTTCAAGGACTCCCTCAAGTCATCCTTGAAATGCTCCATGCTAAATTGACCCAAAGTCTTGGGAAGATCTTGTTCATGATCATTCCACCTGGCAAAGCCTTATCCCTACTAGAGCTACAGGGTACGAGTACAGGAGAACTGCTGAGGCAGAGCTGAAGTGCAACAGCACAAATCTCGCAACAGCAGCTCACCTGCTGTTGATTAAACAACCCAAAGCAGCATCTCTTGCTCAGCATGCCACAGACAGTTCAAAGCACAAACTGGCCTATCAGTCACTCACATACTCACAAAAACCAAACCAACCAGTGATGTCATGGTCATCTTCCAATTCAAAGGGCAAACAACAACATTTCAGGAGAGGCTTCTATGCAGTTAGCTTCTAATTCATGTCCACACTATGTTAGACTGGCACCTTCCACTCAATAAAGTGCTATTACTTTATAGAACTTACCTTTTAGGATACACAGGAATAAAGACATCTTCCTCTATTGATTTTTTCATTCTTGAAACAATCGAGTTCATCAGCTCCTATTAAAAAATGAATTAACAACATACCATTGTCTTCCCACTAGAAAATGTAATACTTCAACTCTCACTTTTAGGATACAATTTTAAAGACAGGGTAGGAATAGTATTTCAAAGGTAAAATACTATGGCTGTGAACAGACATACACTGAACCTTTTTCAAAGTGGAAAGAGGGGACTTACCATCCAGGACTGCATGTCAGATGAGCCGCTGTAACTGTTTCATCTGTCCGCTCTATAGCACTGTAAGTTGTAGCTAAACTGCTACAACCTAAACCTGAATGAAACAGGTTTGAAGTTACAGTGGTTAAGCGTTACAATAGTGTAACTTCTATGTAGAGCACAAGACAGAGGACAAACGAAGCAGTTGCAACAAATCAGCGCTATAATTTTGAAAGTACTTTTATATCTGTCCACAACTTTTTGTTTTATAAATTAAAATCTTTCTATAAGGCAGATACTAGCAAAGCTCACACAAGCATACTCTTTTTAAAGGCTTTCTATACTTCTACAGTAGTTTGAAACTACAAAAACTAAGCCCTGAAGCATCCTCAGATATTAACAGTTAAAAGTGTTTAAGGTTCACTGTGTATTGTTCAGAAAGTCAAATGTGAACTAAAAATTCTGGAAAATTCACCTTCATGGAAGAGCAAAAAAGATTAGCCTTATGATTAGCCTTTTGCTAGTAACAGCTGTGAGTTTTCCACTAATAGTCAGAGCCTGCTTCTGCCCAAAGCAACAGACATCTCCCACTGACTTAAAAATAGATCTGAATCGCAGAATCTGTGAGCAAAACAAATGTAGCTTAAACCTTTTGCTTGTTACAGATAAGCACCAAAGAAGGTAACCAAAGCCTAACTACTTCAGAATTACAAACTGAATGCAGACAGTGAGAGTAGGAATAGTATGCATGATATAAAATGACTTGAAAATATCAAAGTATTTTCTTGGCTTTAGAAACTTTTACCTGCTTTGTTTTACTGGATTCTTTTCTAGAAAGGGAATAGTCTTCAAAGATTTTTTTGCAGAGTTGTACCAAATTCTCTGTCTGTGAAGTTGACAAAGGATCCCATATATGCGCTATAAAGCCTGAAAATAATATTAATTACATCAGCAACAATGTACAATTCATTATTTGCTTTGAAAACTTAATTTGCATATATGTATCTACCATAAAAAAAGAGATTGATGCTATTCCATTCTTCATCTCTGCAAAAAGCACATAGTAGAAATGTTTTGAGGGATAAATTTAAGCATACTACATATATATGTGTGTGTACACACATGCACAGGCATGCGTGCACATACACACAAACACCTCCCCCCCAGAGCTACTTGTCTAAGGAATGGGTATATTAAATAGAGATGCATTGCTCTTAGGTTGTGCTAACTCCTACAGATAAATAAGTCTACTTTATCAGCTTGCATTTATTTGTCTTTATTTTTTGCAGACAAATACCTTCTCCTACAAAGATGGGGATACGGTGGCATAACACATTAAGTAAGCCACGGATGCTCCCCCCCCAGCCCGTGAAGCCATGTCATCCAGTCTGTGGGGCTCCCCACAGATCTGAAAAATTGGCAGCAAGGAAACAATGGTTGCTTTAATTGCTACTCCCCTACTGCCAAATTTCTGACCCAGTGGGAAGCTCCACAGGCTGGATAACATGGCCCTCCATGCTAGACTGGTCACACGGAGCTGACTGGGGTTGTGCGGGACCGACCTGGACAGTGTGGGGCCCAATCCCAGCATGCATGGCCAGACAGAGGTAGCACGGGGCCCAATCCTGGCATGTGGACTGGCCCTGTGCTGCTCATCTGGCCTGTAGAGCCAAAAGGTTGAGCACCACTACATTCAGCCATTTCCCCACAGTTTTGCCGCACTCCAAACTTTTGCTAAAGGTGATGACCTTTAGTCAACCCAACTGAATGGTTCCCTGATCATTTGGGTTGGAGAGTCAAAGGGGACCAGATATGATCTTATCCATACTGCTACCTTGTGTGCTGCTGGATATAAAAACTAGCATGCTTTAAGCACATTAACCCAGTGAGACACTAGATTCTGGTGGACCCTGACGGATCAGAGGAAGCACTTGCAGATATGCCAGGAATACATTTTTATATCAAGATCACTTATGACCATTTGTAAATTGTCTGGGATCGCTACACTCTAATGCATATGTCTCTACTGCCTCGAGCTAAGAGCCCCAGGCTGAAGACGTTCTTCAGGTTCTGTTGCCCAGTTATTACTAGAGAGGGACAAAATGCCACAGGGAACAGGCCTGGGTCACAATAATTATAAGCTTTACTTTTATATGAATCCCCCTCCCTTTCTTTTTACATGAAACCTAATATAAAAAAGATTACCTTCCAACTTACAATGTGTTTAACACCACAGACCCATGGCTTCATTCTGAACACCCAGAAAATCACTCCTGTCCCTGCCTGCCCCTCTGCCCCCCAAGGACTCAAGCTTTACCATTATTAGTACATAAATAAGACAGTTAAATAGAAAAAGAAAATTCAAATCTGAGTTGCTTCCCTGTATATAACTACATTAGTGCAACCCCAACGTACCTGTAATTTTTGGAAGAATTGTTTTTTCAACGATTGCAGGCAAAACTGTTTGATCGGGGTCGTTCTCTCTCCTTGATTCAGACACATTTTTGGCATCACTAAATTCTACTACATCTCTGAACCATGGCATTTCTTCCAAGTCTGTAAAATTCTCCTAACAAAAAACGGAGAGACGTCAGGACTACTTAAGACAGATGCAACACATTTCTGTCAAAGCATTTTACTGATCTGTTTCTCAGTGAGAGTTTTCTTTCAGGACAATCAATAAACAACAAATGATTTTTCATTTCACATAGGAAATCTAAGCTGAACCACCGAGCCACAGACAGAAAAGATGCCAGTTTCAAAGGCAGAAGACTCCGGATAGAATCTATTTCACCTTGTGAATGACCAAAGTGCAGTTTCAACAAACTAAGAGTTAGAATCGCCCTCTGGATGCATAGATGCCTTCCTGTTCCTACTATAAGGGCACTTATGCCCCTATACGGGATTAATGTAATTGCTCCATCATTTTAGTCAGGTAACTCAAGAGCTGGTCAAGCTGCACTTTGGTGGTCCACTAGGTAAACAGAAAGACTAGGAATAAAGCTGAGAGTAAAAGACTGGGATTTTCAAAGTGGCCTCAAAGAGTTCAATAACAAGTAAAGGGTTTTTTTTGAAGAAGAAGCAGCAGATTTCTTCAAATATGAAGATAACACAGTACATCTTTATCGACTTTTAATGTAGACATTACCACGGTATCAAGGAATGACGAGACAGGAGTACAGTACAATCCCACTTCCTTTACTTCTATTTTATTATAATAATATAAGTTAAATAAGGATGTACCATCAAGACTAAGCTTGTAGATTGATTATCCAATATTTATTGAAACCTGTAAACTTAGACTGAGGCAGACCCATTTGGGAAAAAAATTCTATCTGTAAATCCTTCACTGCACAGACCCTGGTTTCACTCTCCAAGTACATAGTCTTCGGAAGTTACACATGAACCGGTATACATGATCAGAAACCAGTTCAAATCTGTAAAACGACAAATTCAGGGCATATAAACTGCTTTCAAAATGGCTGAAACTGTTTTAAGATAAACCTGGATGGATGTAGTATCAGACTTAACTGATTTAGGTTCAAGCGGTTTACTGAATTTCTGACCCAGATCCTCTCCGAATTCAAGTGACCTCACAGTCCACCAGCATTGTAGGATGCTTTGCAACTCCCCTGCAAGCCCCCGCTTGCAGGGTGGGCGGGCTAGCCTTGGTCCAAGCTGTCTGCTCCTGCTGAGCAGGAAGGTGTGCTCTAGCACCCCCCGGCTTCTGGCCTGGGCCAATACAGGCATGTGTCTGCATTTCCAGAATCAAAAGCGAATGTCTGTTCACTCGCTTATTGGTTCAATCTATGTAGTTTCGACTAACCGGAGATGAATGAATCAATTCGGCCTTGGGCTTTTTGACTGTCTGTACTTAGCCCTAGTGATGTACCCCTCAGCTTTCATCTGCTGCAGTGGTGCTGAAGGACAAAGGCAGGTCTCTAAAATATTAAGGACCCAAATCATATAAAGCTTTATAGATCAGAACTGGCACCCTGAGTTGCACATCCATGCAGGTGGAATACTACAGCAGCACCGAAAAATGAAAAATCACTGGGGAACCTACCTCAACAGGATTCCAATTAATTAACTGAAGTCGGATTAGTGGATTTAAGAGTTTAGGCAGACATAAACTAATGTAAGCATCGTAGTAGGAATCAGGAAACTTCTCTCTCCATTGCTGGAATTTCAACAAGATATTTCTGATGTTGCAAAAATCCACTTGCACATCTTCAAAGATTCCCTTACTTTCCTGTAAGATATTATCTGTGGATAATATATTTATAAATGAGGGAAACACCAATCACACTAGTGATACAAAACATAAAAATTATGCATAGACAGTATTCACAGAGGAGAAATGTGCATGGTACACTGTGTTTCTCACTTCCTCTAATCCATTTCCACTGAAATTTATCATAAAACATTCCCTGAGCTGCTTCTAGCAGCTGTCATTTATATTTTAATTATTTCCCCCCCAATAGTATTAGAACCTTTCACCGACACGTCTCCCAGCAGAAAGCAGTCAGTCTTGAATTATATGACAGGTTTAAAATGAAAAATATCTTGAAATAAAGGAAAGGGGAGGTCCCAGTTTTTCAAGGCAGGGCTTACTTCAAGCTGCACAGTACTCAAGATATCAGATATTAAAACCACAATGTTATATTAGAAGCTCTATAAATGGATTAGTTATCCTTTTCCTCATGGTTATTAGAGGAGCTTGTTTTTACCGTACAGAACCAGTCAGTCCTTATTTTTTTAAAATTAAAGGTGGAAGACACAAAACACACAAAGCTGTGGCATCATTGCAATAATCTGTATAATTCACTCATAGCCTAGCCATATGCAAGTCATTTGGCTATTACAAACCCACAGAGAAAAAAAATACAGGAAACCACGTCAACATGTGCTTTCCATATCCTTGTCATAAACCCCCCCTGCTAACTTAGAGTCAAACTTGACTGAGAGTATTTCATCACCATAAGTGCAGGGCTATTTAATCAAATTCAATTTACTTCAATTCAATTTACTTCCACTCATTCAAAATAAATTTTCTTTTCAAAAGCATTTTATTTAAAAATGTGAAGGGACTTTGTTCTAAGGCATTACATAAAGGTTGTCCCTCACCTTTGTTCTCCTGGAAATCCATCATCTCTCCTGGAGACAGCTCATCGTCACTGGACATGCCCTCATGGTGATCAGATTTCCCAGAACTCTCTCTTGCTTGTCTTCTCAATCGCCTGTATTTTTGTAACAAATTCCCATTAGTGACCCTTCCATGTACCCACATCCAAGAGAAAACTTTTGTGGTGAAAGAACTGCTTTCACAAAAGCGGCAAGAGTTTGCAAAGTAATATAGGCTAAGGTACAGTGTCAACTCCCTTGTTCCCTCTCCTCCCCCACTGCAAGCCAGATCCAGACCATGGGGCTCCCTGTGGGGTGGATCCAAACCCAACTCCAACAGCAGGACAAACTATGGCAGCGTTAACTGCTGAGGGTTCCTGTGTTGGCTCACTGACCTGTACCTGTTGCTTGTCCCACTGCCAGCAAAATATGGCCTCAGTGGGGCTCCACCTCAGAATTTGATGGTGGACCCTGTCCCTGAATGTCAGCTCCATCCAGGAGCCCCCTAAGCCAGATGACATGGCTCCACAGGCCAGATCTTTGACACCCCTGGCCTAAGGATATAAGATCAGCTCTGAGAAATACAGAGGAACAATGGCTATTGGGTAATAATCTAAAGTTAAAAGGGTATACAATGGGTCTGGAAATTCAGATTAAAGAAATCAAGATGTCAGTCACTGGGGACGGATTTTTCTTCTAATTCCTCCATTGTTAGCTTTTACCTCCACATAATGAGACATCACCCACCCCATCTTAAGTACTGAAAATTGTGTTCAGTTGCTTCTCCACTAGACTGCGCTACTTTTATTAGAGCACTCTGTTGCACTGTGGGTTATGGGGGGCTGTAAATGACAGAGCTTGAAAGACCGAGAACTGGAACACCCAAAGGCTGCATCCAGACAAGTGCAGGCGGCATCCAGACACATCTGCAACGCCACATGCTGCAAGTTCAGTTGTTCTCCGCACTGCAAGGGAGCAGCGCAGAGGGTATTTTTGACCCTTGGATGTCCAGAGCTCAAAAAGATGGTGGGTAAAAAAAACAGAGCAGTGCATTTTGGGGCAGCGTGTGCTGCTCAAAACCAGAGCCTGGCTGGCTGGAACCATATTCTGGGTGGCAGGATCACCGCTGCTGCGGTGTCCAGGAGGCACCCAGGACCCCAGGTAAGGCTGCTGGGGGCAACACAATGTTGGCCCCAGCCTCAACTACTCCACCAGAGGTAAACTGCTGTGCACCAGAGGGCACATGGCACAGGCAATCCCTGGGGACAACTAGGAAACAAGGGAACCAAATGTCCACACACATGCAGACGTGGCCAAAAACTCTTTTGCACAACAGACCAACCTAAACATTTGGAGATGCAGCTGAACCCCAATTCCCAGAATCTGTGTGTCTGCTTCAAGAAAATGTTGAGTGGTTTACATGCAATTGCTTGATCCTATTTATAGCTTAGTTGTTCTAAACATTTACCGGAAGGGAAGGTACTTATTGTATCATTTTCATTTATTTTGCAAGAGGTCTAGATTACATACTAGGTCATTTCCATCTCCAGTTTCCATGATTCTGTGACTCTCAATCTACTAATATTATACTGCTCCTTTTATCAGCATTTTGGCTATCCACACAAATTCTTCATACCAATATATTAGGTTCTCAGTCTCAGAGAAAAACACACTGATATGCAGATCCTAAATGACCAGAGAATCAGGAATAGAAACAAGTAACAGGAGAAAGCTTGTTTCTAAATAGTCCTATCCTAAGCTTTAAAATGTGGTAAATTTCTTGGTAACAAATTATTAGATATAATACAAGTAGAATTACAAAATATAAGCTTCATATTTAGTTATCCTGCTGTTTGACATGCACCGTAAACAATAGGAAGTTACTCTAACAATGTGTAATGTTCGAAGTAACATGCATTTATGTTTTATAGTCACCTTCGAGCCTCATAGTCTTTCAGCTGCGTTTCCTGCTGTGTTTTTTCATCAACTCCCAACCTGTCATTAGTTGATTTGCTATTCTTACCTGTCAAAGAATAAATATAAAATATTTTTGTTTGTGTTTATTTGTTCTTTGCAATGTTTAGAAATAGAAGGAAAAAAGAAAAACCTCTTTGAAAACCTAAACAGTGCCCTCTGCAGTGTTAAAGCACCTGTAAGGATGATGAGAGGTGGCAGTTTGAGTACACAGTATTAAGTCAGAGGTAAGTATCACATTAGAATAAACTTGATAAAGTTAGAGGGGTGTTGCTTCTCAGTATCTGTTGGGAGACAGAAGTAAATGCCTTACTGAGAACTTTGCTGACAGGTGTCAAAGTGGTAGGAAGGGGGAACTGAGTAATAGAGACTTCTTGTAAATGAAAACTTAATCTCTGTGATGTTCTATTGCAAATTCAACAAATTATTCTAACTGTTAAACATTACGAATGATGGACATTCATTTTGGAAGCTAGATCTGGTGATAGAAACCAGGGCTAGACTAGTCCACTAACAGTGCTGCCTACCACTGCTGTGAAGTAATTACTTTAACTGAGTTCACTCATGAATTGTTCCTGGTCAGATCCTTTGATCCAACAGACAGCGACCTGACTGGCCCAGTCACTTAATATCAGATTTTCTTTTTTATTGTGCGCATGTGCACACATATACACAGTTTTAATTAAAATAGTTGTAGAAAATCTACAATTTCCTGCTGCAATATAAAAGGCAATAAGAACTGCTTTTCCAGCACATTAAATAAATGAAGGGAGGTAACTTGGTAATAAAAAGGCTTTGCTAGATATGTATGTGAACTCTTATTTGTTACAGATTTGATAGCATTTAAATCTAATTTTAGAGGCAACTACTAAACATAGAGCACTATCCTATCCTTCCTCACTTTATACTTATTGTCAGTCTGCTAGAGCCCTTCACAAACTGTTCACTGGCTTAATAGGTCAACATTTTAAATTCCCAGGCAGCTTTGTGGAGTCAAAGTACTGAGCCAAAATGATTGATGGTTACTGTAGCTACATGTTTCTGGCATCCATATGTTCAATGGCAGCTTCAAGCACAGCTTTGTCTCTACAGACCCAAAATGTTATGAATGACAAAGGACAATAAAGAAACATATAACAGTCTACAAATGATGAACTCTCATTATGGAAAAAAAGATGTTACAATCTTAATATTTACTAAACCTATAAACAAATAGGAAGGACAAATATGAAGTTGGATAAAATTGTCACAATGTCTCTTTTCTGTTGCCCTGACTAAATATCATAGATATCCAAATGCCGTATCCAAACTTCAGACAACTAAAAACAAAACATGGTTGTCATAGGTTTGAAAATGCATGTCAGTATCCTGAATTGTCAAAATTGGGATATGAAACTTGTCTCAGCTCCTTTTAAATAATCAGTCATCAATAGCATTAAGATTAACAATACACGTTCAATTATAATAATTCAAGGTGATTGCCAGAATTAGCTTTTCTCTCTAATATTATATATGGTTTAGAAACAAAAGAAAAAGTAAAGGAAGTTACTAAGTCTGTACAATCCCAAGTCATAATTCAATAAATCTGGTTTTCCAAAACAGTGTAATGGAAAACTTGCCACATAGACAGGGCAACTTAAATTATTTTAAAAATACTCGCTAAATTTTCATCCCCCTACAGCAAAAATTATTAGTATACATGTATTTCTGTTCAGAAAGTACAAAGTTCAGTTGCTGAAAAGATCATTTTTAAAATTTCATACTAACTTGATAGCTGTTGAATATAAGCAGATTCATTTCTCAGATCATCTTGCCTTCGTTTCAAGAGTGTTTCAGCTGGTTGCTGGAGAAGCATGTGCATAGCTGATTCTAGTTCATTAATTTGAAGTAGCTGGAATACAGTTAATCATTATCACATTTTCAGTTATCTAACAGAACTACAAAGAGAAGCCAAAATAAAAAATTTGCAAACGTAACAGTAGTTTCCCAATTATTTTAAACAAAATAATTAAATATAATTATTTTTAAAATATTATGTTTATGTTAAAATATTCTCTAGAGGTTGGATAACAGGTTCCTGTTCATTTTCATTAGATTTTCAAGTTTCTAATCATGACAGATTGAGAAATGCCATCTATTGAGAATTACATAGAATAACATTGAAAAGTGCAGTTCTACACAAAAAAGGAACTGAAAATGGTATTCTGAAGTCCCATGTCTGTGGAAACCTGACTTCTGTATCCATTCAGATTACAAATAAAAGATGTTTATCCCTAAAGCTCAATCCAAATTCTGGAAGTCAAGCTGCTGCCTGCCCTGCATTCCACACAAAACCACCAGTGATATGGATTCTGCAAACCAAAATTCACTCTTAGTTACACATACATAACCCTACATCCTTTGGAATAGACCCTCTGACATCTTTGTAATTTCAATGCCTTAAACAGTTTTTTACATGCGTTACAGATCAGGATTTACTACGCATTTTTATTGATAATGCAAAAGATGGAATAGGCCGGCTCATTCCTAGCTGTGCTGGTTCTCATGGGAGGGGGATACAAGGCAAATCTTACTTTGCTACTAAAATAGATGAGACTTGGAGCATTCACAGGGAAATGTAAAGAAAGGTCGCATGAACAGTCATTTTTAAGAGTAGAACAGTACTTACTGGGATTGTGGACACTGTAAACCAGCCCTAATTGATACCTTGTCATCCACAGACTTTTGCTTCCAGTTTCAAAATCTCACCCAGCACTTTACGGAAAAACTGTGATGAAACTTTCTCTCTGATTTAATTAAAAATAATCACTAATACAAACTAGCTCAATTGTTCAATACTAAAAAAAAAATCCCAATTATTTTGGCAGAAACAATTAGAAGAGGTTCTCATTCCAAAGGGTTCAGTAGTTCAAATGGGTCCACTTTCCTTTTGCAAGCTGACAGAATCAAGTATATACCGAGAATGCTCATAACTGTAGCTCTTTGTAATTCAGACTGCATAGCGTTATCTAAGGCTGGCACAAAGGCAGTGCATTCCTTGCCTCACCCAGGTTGCAAGTTTTCTCCCCTCCAAACTGCATGTGATGGTTATGGTGGGAAAGCTACAGCAAACAGCAGTGTTTCAGTTAGTTAGATATGGCACAGACAAGTTGAGTAAAATAATTTCCGTACAGATCTACAACTCCAGAACCACCCCAACATGAAACCCTTCACCTCTTCCATTCTTTAATATTGAGCAAATTCCTACAGAGTATGATGGGCACACAAGTGATTTAGACAGACCTTCCTGTTAGGGTAGCTTGTCATATTTTATGCTTTAAAGTTGCACCTGTTTATAGAGTGGTGAATTATGGCATTGTTTAAAGTTTTCTTTTATATTCAGCCTAAAGTTCTGTATAGCCTCATTGTTATCTGAACTCTTCATTTTGCTGATGTTTGCAACATCAGCTGGCCTTGTTTCTTGCAAGCAGCTTATGGCCTTGAGTTTGCTCTCATGATGTTTCTTTCCTTTTTCTATCACTGTGAGAAGGTTTTCTAACACAACATGGTAATAGTTTTGTTACTAGCTCAAATTAACTGAACTTGGCACTAACCAGCTGAATCAGAGGGATGAAATGATTGGATATGTTCATGAAAGGTGATAAAGGAGACCAATGGACAATGCTTAAAGACACAGGAAAAAGACTTGCTGTATTAATAAAGTTAGACTTTGATTTTAGGGCACTGAGTTGTCTGTGTTCATATTTCATGTTCCATTTAAGAGTTAATTGTGCTTTAATGATCCCTAAGCACTATCTGCTGGTCAGTGGTGTAAACATTCCCATTTATTTTTTATTTGGGTCAAAGATAGGATAATTTATAATTAACACATGTCTACACATAGACCCATTCCCGTTAAATGTTTAACTTTGGAAGACATTCCTGTGTTGGCAGAGCAATAAAAAAAACCCCAAAACATAGACAAGTAGGGCTGGAAGGGACCTCTGGAGATCATCTAGTCCACCCCCTACTTGCAGCAGGGACATCCCTCTCCAAACCATCCTTACCTATCCTATGACTAAAACTACACAGGCAACCCTGTCAGATAGCTAATCCTCATCCCCTCTGCAGCAAGGATGAGCACAAACCCAGAGGAGCAGAAGGCTCCACAGCAGAGGGGGAGCACTGCAGAAGGGATGGTGGCATGTGCCATTGTCCCTGCCCTCATACTACACTAGACCTTTGCAGCTATTCTATTCACTAAATATTGTAAACCCAGTCCCATGTCTTAAAAAAAAAAAAAAAAAAAAAGCAATATATGTACCTTTTCATTCAAACAGTCTATCAAATTTTCCACAAAAGTTTTCATAGCCCTGTAGAATTTGTAGTTCTGACCAACGTCCGAAGACTTCTCTAACTCTTGAATAGTTGTTTTTGAGCTTTCAATGTCATGTGTGTATTTTTCATATTCCCTCTGATGGGCCCGGTGGATATCCTGCAGTGATGCTACTCTAAAAAACACCAAAATGTGTAAACTAAGCACAATTGCTGGACAACACATTAATCCACAGTTAGCATTTCACAGTTATGTTCACATATCCAGCCTAATCTGAGGTGAGCAATGATAGTGTTTACAGTGTTTCCCTTTCCATTAGTCCTGCTCAATTTAAGTCTTCTATAACATGCCAACATTTTTCAGACTGTGGGGTGGGGACAGGTCTCACCATTATTCTCCAAAGTCTCATCTTTTGTTCAAATGGTATGGTTGTACATATCGAATGCAACATTATTATTTCACCATTCCTCAGATCACAAAAAAAAAAGAAGAGAAAATATGGTCTCATGAAGAGCTGAACAATCCACTGCGAGGGTATATGTGGGTCTGATTGCAGCACATGCTGACACATCTGGGCAAGCTTAATCTAATTCAGAAGAATAACAATAGCTGTGAAAATCCAACAGTGTAGCCTTTAGTGTGTCCTAGCTATGTGGGGGCCTGTGGCGTACACTCAGGCTGTTAGCATGTGCTAAAGCCTAGGCTGCCATATCTTCACCTGATATTGCTATTGTTACCTGATAGATTAAGATGGCATAAGAAAGCTAGTTTTATGTCTACAACAATAATATATAGGTGTGATTGTAGCATATGCTAAAGTAGACTTCTAACCCTGTATGACACAGATGAAATTGTTATTGGTTTATCTTTATTTTCAGCTTTTAAGGGCAGACAGGTAAAAATGATACTATAATACTGCTAATCTGTATCTCTAATTCTCATTTCTAAATGTTATTCTATATGCAAGGGAAGTCAGAATTTAACCAATCCAACTCAAAGTGTAACTGGGTAGTTCTGTGTCTTGGATGCCTATGTCACAGCCAGAGACTGGTGCCCTGGTCACCCCCGTTTAATTACATTACCGAATCCAACCAAGTCTTAAATACTGAAATCAACGGGATTTTGCATGGGAGCGGCAATCTCTCTGCACATAGCTCACCGCATGACAGGGCCCTAAAACTGGTGTTAAGTTCTATCTTTGTGCTGATGCACATCCAAACCTCATTCAAATAGCTGTTTTTATACTTCCCATCACTGCACAGCCACTATTTTTGGTAGCAGTGGAACACTTGCCACCATTTTAAAGAACACACCACCTTACCCTACTCAGAATATGTTCAGATGATTTTATGGTCCAATTCAAACTAGTTTCTTGCTCCAAAGCAGCTACATTGGTGGTAGGAAAATGGAAGATTTTTTTTTTTTTTTTAAGTTCTACATAGAAAATCAGAACATTTACTGCTGAGCACAGCTAAAATTGTACTGCTATTCAGATACAGCAAATACATGTAAAACAATAAAGCTACAATCATCTAGTACTTGGGAAAGATTGTAAAATGGTTTATAAAGACATTAAACAATAATGTACTTAGCACAGGTTGCTCAATATTAATTTGCAAACCACTAGCATTTACCTTGTAGTCAGTCGCTTCTTTACAATTTCCAAGTCTACAGGTGGCAGTGAAACAGAGGGATCAAATATTATCTTCATGGTTCGAGATTTATGCAGAAAAGCATCCTCATTAATTCCCTGTAAGAATTAGCTGTGTTATTTGTCAGTAACTTGTTTTCTTATGCATAGGCAGGCCTTACAATTGGAATATGCAGCAAATTGGGCACAGTGTGCATAGCTGAATATCATATTTATAGACTGAATGGAGAGGAGAGTAAGCGTTTCCTGGGCACACGTTTTGCAAAGTAAAGTTGAATAAAAGGACAGTTCTTCAGTTTGGACTACCCTTACTTTCTCTCTCTCTCTCTCAAATTATATCAATAGTTTTCTGGACTGTACAGAACAACCGTAATGGCAACCGTAACCTGACTAGTATTTTGGAATATAAAAGCTCTCCTGTGTAGGGGTGTACCAATAGAGATTTTTGCAGCGAAACAGATAGCTGATTTTTAAGGAGGCACATTGGCTGATCCTGATCTGATTTCCGATACGCAGCTCTTCAGCTTGAAGAGCTGCATCCAGCTGGTAAGTCTGGTGTGGTGGAAGGGGAGGCAAGGGGAGCGTGGAGGGGCAGATCAAAGCCCCAGCATTGAGGGAGGGAATGGGGCTGGGGAAGGGGAAGGCACTGACCAGCCAGGGCAGGGAGGGGCGAGGGACAGCCACAAGCAGCCCGGGGGGGGGGGGGGGCGGGGGGCGGTTCCCGACACTGCACATGGCTTGTCTGGCAGCTCCTGCCGCTGCTCCTGCTGCTTGTCCAAGAGGGCAATTAAGAAGATGTTTTTTTGGAGGATGAATTTCCCCAACTAAAGGGTTTACAACAAGCTGAATCCTGGGCTCTGGCACTGGAAACTAACCACTTGGAGTTACCCAAGAGGTAAATGCGAATACTGGCCTTAAACTTCTTCCTATCCCAGGAAACAAATGACTTATGGAGAGTGAACTTCCCAGGTGCGTGTGACTCTTCCCAATGAGTACAGGCATTTGGTATGCTTGTCCACAAAATGGATAGCTCCCTCACAGAAAGGACAAAATGTGAATCCTGGCAAGCTTAGGATAGCCATATCAGCAGACAAAGGACAGGTATGGCAAAAGAAAATGGCCCCGCTCAACTAGAAAAACTATATGGCAAAGGTCAATGGAGCGTCAGGTCTCATTGGAGAACAATGAAAACTGTGACAAAAATGAGAGAGAGAGAAATAAGAACTAAAAATCAAAATGGATCTGCAAGCAAAGGAGAGAAAAAAAAACATGGGTCAAAAGGTGACTTCAAGGGCAGCCATAGACTGAACACACTTTAGTTTGGAGTAGACTACAGAAACTCCATTCTGCACCAAATCAACAGGGAGGAACTGAGGAGCAGAAGGTGTTTATCACTCTCTGTGCCCAGGCATGGAGCATAGGGAGGCTAAGGCTATGCTAGGACAAAAAAAAGTCTCCAAACTTAAATGCCTGAGAAGCACAATGCACAAGCAGAGGAACATGTGAACGGTCAAGTGCTTGACAAAGAATATATCCTGTAAGGTTAATAACAGGGTTTGTCCTTGGAGCACTAGCAGACTCTTCCCCTGTCTCTCTCTCACTTAAAGAATTGATGTCAGCTCCCCAAAACCTTGTCTAATGATCATGGAAAAAAGAAGTTTCAACACTGATCCCCCCCAAAATTCTCTTACATTGGAAAAAAGAGCAGGGACAATAGCAAGAAAAAACATATTACCTGAGAAAGTTTGAGTGCCTTCTTCATTTGCTGTTCTTCCCATTCATTTTGAGTTTCCTCATCTCCACTTGATACTCCACTCTCAGATACTGGAAATAAAAGAAAGAATAATTATGCAATCTATTACAGACTGTCTTTCCATCTATTCCTCCTACCCAGCAAAAAAATTGCTTCTGTTCCCACAAGCCTTACTGTAGAAATGATATGGGTAAACAGAAGAGCACAGATGGGATTCTCAAAGTGGGACACAACAGGAGATGGCTGCAGAAACGCATAAAATTCAGAATTACACCTGAATGCTAAATCCCTAGAATACGCTTTCAGAGTAAACTGCTGCTGCAGAGCCACTGGAATCATGAAGCACTGTATTCTACAAGCATGCTGGAAAGTTTTTATTTCTTGAACAACACTGTACATGACCCATAATAAAATGAGGTAAATAGAGGTAGTAGTGGTACAGTAAGCAGGACTATAAACGTGATAACTTCATCAATGAAAAATTCTTATGCATATTCTAAGATATTGTGTCAGCTTATTTCAATGACAAAAGTGAATTTTGCTTACTATTTGTTCCATTTTGCATATCAGATCTAATACAGATATGGGAAACTAGGCTGGATTCTACTCCTGCTTACTCAGCAAATGAATTGTTAACTCAATTCACATCTTGCAACCCTTATTAATGTAAATAACATAAGGACTGTGGGTCTAGGCTCTAAAATGTGAACAGCAGAATCTTTATGATTAGCCAAAGAACACGGGTTCAACTTCTAAGATCCCCAGCTGAGCTTGCAATACTGGCAGTTAGAGAAAAAACAATAAGCACCTTCACTTGGATATGGCAAAGTGGAAATTATTTAAATGTCAACAAACATGTGGTGTCCCCAGTGAAATTTTAACAATGTCACTATTCAGAGCATAGTCCCAATTTTAAGAAGTTCACATGTTGGCCTTGAACTACTTGATTAATTCTTTTTAAGGATGTCTGTCAAGATCTTCAAAAAGCAGGCCACAATCAGTAAGTCTGACCTTTTGCTGAAGGTTGAAATAGCAGCAATAGAGAATGGAATGACAACCACAGATATACTTTACATGAGCTATCAGAAATTGATATAGGACTGCAAAAAAACTAATCTCAAAGGTCATTCATATAGTAAAAGTGATGCTCAATATTAAAAAAATGTAACTGGCTTGAATAAAGTAAGAGAAGGTTTAAGTTTGGTGGTCAGTCATTAATTAACAGTATTAAAACTGACAGTGTTTACTTTGAAATAACCAAACGACTAAGAGTTAAAAAAATATGTAAGCATCTACCTGGGATATAAACGTAAGATAAACTGATATATAATAGAAGAGCAACAGAGCAGGAAATCATTTAAAGAGCCTCGAGCGAATCAGAAAAAAATAATACAACGGAAAAAGTAAAACAAACACATGATGATGAAACACTCAACATAGGTACTGATTTCATGGGTGCTTCGGGTCTCAAGCACCCACTGAAAAATGTTAGCAGGTGCTCAGCACCCATAGAGCCACTTGCAGATGTTAAAAAAGGGGGAAAAAAAGGAAAAGAAAAAACACACTTTACTGGGAAAAAAACCCACATGACTTCAACCCAGCTCTGCAGTGTCTGTAAAGATTGGGCACTTCAGCAATGTTTCTTGACACTTTTAGCTGAAGCTGATTCAATCAGCTATTAGATAAAAGTGCCAAAAAAGCCCCACTAAAGCACCCAATCTTTACAGATGCTGCAGAACTGGGTAGAAGTAACACGTTGCCTCTTCTGGGCATGCATGGGGCTTGGCACGGGAACGCACTGAGTTAAAAGTAAAGTGCCAGGTTTTTACTGGGTTCTTTTTTTCTTTTCTTTTTTTTTTTTTTTTTTTTTTTTTTTGGGGGGGGGGGGGGGGGGGGAGGAAGGTTTACACCTGCAAGCACCCACCAGCAAAAAAAAAAGTTGGTGCCTATGAACAATCATTTACCAAACATTAAATAGCCAGTTTAGCGAACATTAAATACTGTATCTTCTCACAGACCACATGACCCCAAATAAGACAAGCATCTTTTTTTGGGGAAGTCAGAATGAAGAAAAAGATTTTTCCAGAGTTATGGCCACATATAGCAGGGACACGGCCTAATCATCAGCTCACTCACCCTTCCTTTTCTGCTCAGGCAAAAGCTACAGTCTTAAACCTTTCACAGCTAAATTATCAGAAGCTCTTGGCTGCTCTGCCAAAAGTTGAAACTGTAGCTGCTGCTGAAAACAGGACTCCAGCGGTGTTGGGCTCAGGACCCAGTCCTGGTATGCAAGGCTCAATCTGGCCCACAGACCAGTCCCACCCCACTCATCTGGTTTACAAGGCCAAAAGGTTGAGCACCACTGGGCTGAGCCATTAGGCAGTGATTGGTGGAACAGGATAACAATTAAAAGCTAAAATGACAAACAGCAGCAGAACCACGGTAAAACAAGAAGCATCTTCCTAAAAACTGCAGAGCTTGGCCCAGAACAGCAGCTGACCATGAAAATCCCCATCGGCATAGGAGTTGCGCTGCAATCCGGAAGCTCACAAACCCTAGCTGTTGCTATCAGTAGCTAACTGCTTAGAAGTGATCGATCAAACGTCAGTGCTGCTGTCATGGAAGTCCATAGTGCTAGCTCTGAGTTGTCACTGTGCTGTGCCACAAAGCCTGGCACTGCACATGTTCTTGACAGCTTTGCACAGATGAGATTCCCAAACTGTAGTATGCCAAAGACTTTATCAAAGGGAAATTATATTTATCTGTGCTGCTGCAAGGGAGGTCTATTTTTGGTAATATTGTTTCAACAGTTGGGAGAGATGCTAGACAAGCTTTCAGGCACAAAGTGCCCTTGCTTAGGTCTGGGAAAGAAACAGAAGTAACCTATGCTGAATACAGTATAATGGAGATAAACACAATTCATTGTTTTATCTGCTATATATTATCTAACATAGTAGGGGACCCCTGGTATTCAAAAAAACAGTTGAAAGCCCCTTGTCCTATTAATTTTTAACTAATACAGGAAACCCTCGTTATTCGTGGGTTGGGCATTCGTGGTTTCAAATATTCGTGAATGCCGAACCTGCACTTTAAATACACCTTATACACTTCCAGGAGTTCCTCAGGAGCTCCGCACTTGCTGCTGCTGGACTCCCACCGCCGGAGACATGCCCTCCCCAGTGCTTTATTTGCCAATTTCGCCATTCACAGGGATCATGGGAACTTGTCACCTGTACTAGTAGAGCCTCACTTCACGTCGTTTTCCACAGCACAGAATGGTAGTAAGGTCCTGTTCCCCAACAGTTTCAGCATGGCTATCCACCTGTGCTTCTTGAGTGACCTGCAGATTTCCCAGGTCACACTTTTTGACTAGCCTGATAAGTCTTTTCCTGGTCAGCTGACATGGCATTCTGTTAAAGGTGCACCAATACATCAGGCCAATATTGGATTGGCATCAATATAAAAAAAAATTTCTGTATTGGAAATAGGCCCGATGTGGCCGATAATTTGTCCGATAAATGTCCATGCGTGCACGCAGTGGCAGCGCAACATGTAGGCAGTGAGGAGCAGAGCCATCAGCATGGAGTGCTGCATGCAGCTGGTAAGTCTGGTGCGGTGGAAGGGGAGGAGAGGTGTGGGGGTGCAGATCAAGGCCCCCGTGGTGAGGGAGTGTGTGGGGTTGGGGCTGGGGCAAGGGCTGCTCAGCTGGGACTGGGGTGGGCACAGGACAGAGACATGGCTCGTCAGGGGGCATGGGAAGGGGGGCGCAGCTCCTGCCGCTGCGCATGGCTCGTCCTGCCTTCCCCTTCCCCAGCCCCATTCCCTCCCTCAACGCTGGGGCCTTGATCTGCACCCCCACACCTCTCCTCCCCTTCCACCGCACCAGACTTACCAGCTGGATGCAACTCTTCAAGCTGAAGAGCTGCATATAGGAAATCAGATCAGGATCAGCCAATGTACCTCCTTAAAAATCCGCTTTCGGTATCAGCTGCAAAAAATCTCTATTGGTACACCCCTACATTCTGTGGTTAGGAGAGCTTTTGGTGGATTTTTTTCAATGTCAGCAATTATATTCTGGTTTAAGAACAAAATAGGTTTCTATTGGAGAGAGTTCAGCAGAGGGCAACAAAAATGGTTTGGGGTCTGGGGCACAGGACATATGAGGACAGGCTGAGGGAACAGGGCTTACTTAGTCTAGAGAAGAGGAGACTGAGAGGGGATTTAATAGCAGCCTTCAACTACCTGAAGTGGGGTTCAAAAGAGAATAGATCTGGACTGTTCTCAGTGGTGGCAGATGACCAAAGAAGGAGCAACAGTCTCAAGTTGCAGCAAGGGAAGTTTAGGTTAGATATTAGGAAGAATTTTCTCACTAGGAGGGTAGTAAAACACTGGATCAGATTACCTAGAGAGGTGGTGGAAGCTCCATCCTTGGAGGTTTTCAAAACCCAGCTAGACAAAACTCTGGCTGGGATGAACTAGTTAGGGCTAGTCCTGCTTTGAGCAGGAGGTTGGACTGGATGAGGTCCCTTCCAATCCTCATGTTCTATGATTCTACACAACACTCATTACCATATCAGAGCACTTGTTGGTACCACATTACTAATCACATGTGCAGGCTAAAAAGCACATGTAGCAGATTGTCTAGGTTTGAAAGAGTTTCAGGTTTTTTAAATATGTTTATTTGTATTTATGCTAGAGAAAAGAAGGTACAAGAAGTACACTCTGCACTTGGAATAGAAAGTGATGTTTGTGACAGTACCTGTGGGGGTTTCAGTTTTGGACTGGCTCCCAAGGAAGTCTTGTATTCTATGTGAACAAACTCTACAATTATCCTGGAGAATTTTATTGCCAGGAGCACAGTTTGGCCATAGTTCCATCCCAGAGCTTGAGGTATTTTTCACAGTACGTTACAAGCACTTAAAAAAATGGAATTTGAAGCACTTCTTAATTTGTACCACTATCAGCAGTATACAGACAGTCCCCTCCCAGCAAAACTGACTCAGATTTTGTCAGAACCAGTGACAGTATATTACTTCACATTCATGGGGAGATGAGCAGGGATATTAGCATC